ACAGGTGAAGTCATTTGTTAAACTCCATTAGGTCTCATAGGATATTATAAAAGTGCCCTCCTGCAAAAGATACCTCCATTCTTTTTGCCATTTGTCAGTGTGGGGTGTAAAAGGGCCCAGTGAACATGGAGTGTTCTTTGGAAACCCATCAATGTTCGCCTAGATTTCATTCCTGGCCTATAAACTGGTCTAATGCAGACTTACCAAAGACTCCATATTTCAATATTTTAATGAAGGAGTGGTGTCAGGAGGAAGGGAAGAATAGGAAGAATGAGAGAGTGAGAGTTATACTGTTGCAATCAGAATATTTCTTCAGTCACTAAAAACAAACCCAGCTCCAATAAAATAAAATAAAATAAAATGGAAAAGGAAAAGGAGAAAGGAAAATAAATGAACCTATAAAAAGTCTTGACTGAAGTGCTCTAGGGAAATTTATTGAACAGAGATTTGTTGTTCATATTTATAATGGTTACAGTAACATCTGAAGCTGTTTGCCATTGCCAGGCCTCCAACTATAAAGTTCATTGAAAAATTCTGATATAAACACTGTCTCATCTGTCTGCAACCACTCCACTTGCTCCCAAATCATGTAGCAAAGGCCAAAACATTGTTCCACAAAGTTATATAATTGGACAAATGAATTCAACAGACTAATATTTATACTGCCATGTAATAATGCAGTTATTATATTATTATGGTTTCATAATACAGCATGCCTTTTCAGGGGGCATGTTTTAAATCAGGATACACCTATTTTTATTAATCTGTTATATCTTAAAAGCATGAATAAGTATAATTCAGAAGCTCATATTTAACTATTCCTTTGTTTGGAGAGAGAAAGAACACTAGCAAGAAAGCAAAAGCCAGATCCAGAAAAAGAAAGAAACAAGTAACAACCATCACAGCCACAGCTACCACCACCACCACCACCAGAACAGAAAGGAAGCCAGTATCTTCTTTGATAGCTGGAAGGACCATGCCACTTATCTAACCAAGTGTGCCAAGAGGGAGAATTTTAGGTATATTCTGATCCCAGGGAGTGTTTCTGATCATGGTACCTCTAAGAGGCTCACTACTGACATATTCATTTTATTGAAGACAACAGTACAACAAACCACCTTCAGAAGCACTACTCCTATAAAAACAGGAATCAAAACATCAATTTGTAGAATTGAATAAATGTGAAGGATTTCATGTCAGACATTTCTTTTTCTAAAGTATCCAGAGAGTAGAATCATCCAGGAAGAAAACTATGTATTTGACAAATTGTCTTGAGACAAGGTCAATCTCATTTGGAATATTCGTGGGTGAATATGATTGATTAGTGAGAATGGCTTTGCAATAGGAAGATGTTAAACACATTTCTAGCTCATTGTAGCCATGAACAGCAGTCCATTGCCTGGGGGGACTCAGAGTACCTGTGTAGGTATAATGTTAATTAAACCAGACACAGATGTTACCATTCTCCAGTAAGGACAAATGTAGGAATACCATGAAGAGGACTGACCCGCAAATGTTGCTATTGTGCTAACCACAGAAGGAACTGCAGAGGTAAAAGATAGAAAGGCCAGAAAGAAAAAGAAAGACCCATATGGATCTCCTCCAGGGCTGGCATTTGACCATGGACACAGACCCAGACAGAACATGGAAATGTTTAAAGAAAAATAGGATTTTAGTTCTTCAACCTTTCCAGACACAAACCTCTTATTAACTGTAGAAGATGCACAGGATCAGGAGAATGAATCCTTTGAGATTTTCTGTTTTATTCTAAAGATGATGTATGATGAGGAGGCCCAGTAAAAAAAAAAAAATGTGTATATGTGCATGTGTGAGTGTTTGTATTTAATAAAAGCCTCATTGTCCTAGAAAAATATACTGCAGTTTATACCTTCTTTTTAGTGGCCTTAGTTCTCTTCATATTGGGTGGAAAAGAGAATTATGTTGGTTTCGATGATAATTTCTGAATATTAGTCATGTAATTGAAACTGGAAACATTGTGGTTTGAATTCAGAGCTAGGTCAGTAAGTAGATACTTTTAACTAAAACCAAATATTAACAAAAAAACTTAGATTCCCTAATAACTAAAGAAAAACCTTATGAACCACAATGTAAGAGATGAGAGAATTACTGAGTTTCCATATAACAAGAAAACACAGCACATTTTGGATTGTGCTATTCTCCATAGAGGCCTGGTAAATACTTTGTCCAAGTTACACTTAAAAGTTAGAAATATAATTTGGAGATTAAAATAATGATAATAATTTAAAAATAACACTCACCTATTCTTTTTACAAACCAATCATGAGGGTTTTCTAAGTGCCTATTTCACTTCCATTTTACCTATGAGATGTGGAGATGATGAAACCATTACCACTGATCTGTCTGTCTGTTCAGCTCAATAGGGCTTCATTCATTTCAGCTATCTCCTGCTTAAAACCCAGACCACCAGGGCAGCCCATACCTCTAGGGCCTCATCGTAAACTATTGACATTCACAGAAGATTGATTCATATTTTAAACTGGTTTAACAGTTTTAGTCAATAAAGTGTATCTGGGGGGTGGGTGCATGTGTCCACATAAAGAGACTTGTGAAATTTGAACCCCCTTTGGCTGCATCCTATAGTGTGTTGGGGCTGGCATGCCCAGGCTGACAAGAACCAATTGTGTACATCTCTTCCCATTCCTGTGTTCAGTGATGTCACAGTTGGTAGCTTGAAATCAGCCATGATGGGAATATTTACACCATAGAAATTGGCAAATGCTATAAATCAGGTGCTTTCTATTCTCAGTGAGCTGGTTGTTAAATATTTTACCAGCACACCACTGGTTGCATGCCAGGGTGAGCAAAGGTGAAACTAGCTCTTGGTCTGGGCAACACAGCATTAACTTGGCTTCTTTGGGGTTTCTCCAATTTGCTTCCTCTCCAGGAGCTCCTTTCCCTCCAGTTTAATAAGTGCTGAGGAACCACTGGAGAGCATGCACACCTAGGGTGTGTTTGGCTACCCATTGCCACCACACTGGGCTCTACTCTCAGAGACACTTCTACTTTGTAGCCACATGAGTGATGCAGGACAAAATCAAAATGGTAAAGCACCTGAAATTCTCTCTGAACATGTCAGCTGGCTTCCTGCTGCAGAGACTGGAGAACAATCACCCCAGTAGGAACAAGCTGTCCCCAGCTGAAATCACCCACTGGGACGTTCTTCAGGAGGCTTCCCACAGCTGGTCTGCATGCTGCTGCTTCACCAGCGACTGTTCGCAGGTAGGCGGGGTTGAGTTTGTCACTGCAGCAACCTGCCAGGTACCTGGAAGCAGGTTTCCTTTGCTTCCCCCTTCCCTCCTCAAAGTCTGATAAAAATCAAAGAGCCAACCAAAAAATTGAGGTCACTGGCAAAAAAGTTTGACATTTTGAATGATTTTTATTAAACACCATTAGTCTACACTGCACAGTTAATGAAACAGCAAAGCTCCAATCTCTTAGAAGAATGATGATTGATCATGGATCTGAAAAGCAGTTCAGTGTCCACTAACCCAATGTGAGCACTATGAATAATTCTTTAACATCTCATGTTAGAAGTAAAAAGGGGCAAGAACTGCAATCTGGCCTCGAGGGGCTTCCCCACCCTCCACCCCACCCACACACCCCCTGCCCTCCCCACAATGCAATTTTCTTTTAGTCAATAGATTACAGCGTAAAACGTGATGCTCTTGGTAAAGAGGGCTTCTAGATTTGTGAGGAGGAGAATGGAAAGGGAATTAATACTTTTTCTTTCGCCAAAAATATCAGATGGTAGAATTAATGTCTGAGACCAGCCTATCTGATCAGTCTTCTGCCAGGGTAAATGCTGATTATCAATATACAGATGCCATTTATGTTGCTGGAGTTTGCTAACATCAAAGAGAAAATGAATCAGAGTTTATTTATGAGAATAAGGCTGTGCGAGTAGAAATGAAAAACAACAACAATAACAATGACAATGAAGAATTTTGTGTGCCAGTTGAGTAACAGAGCACTGACAACTGGCCCAATATTTTTTCCCCACAGAATTGAATTTGGGGGCACTTGAATCAACTCCTTTTTTTGATATTGTGTAGCTATGTCATCTTGCCACAAATTTTTTCTCAATGGGGATAGTGATGCTTCTCTAAGCAAGAAGTTCATTCCTTTACTGAGTAGTCCTACCCAGTGATCCAGTTTGGTTTTCCCACCTGCCAACTCAAACAGGTGAATTTTATCATGTCTGTTGACAAGTACATGAGGGCTTCACCCTAACAACTCAATCGATTCCACCTTCAAAAATGCTTTTCAACTTCAACCTCCAGGATGCAAATTTGAATAAAACAAAATCCAAATCAGATAGCTTCAGGAAAGATACAATAGAACAAGTATCTTTCCAATGCAGACCAAATCCAATGCACTTAGCAATGTATGTCCAAATGAAACTCCATGCATTTGGAAACTCAACAAAACATATTTTAGCCAGTGGTTTCTAATTTTGCAACTTGGCTATTGCCTGAAGATTTGGATCTTTTTATTTCCTTACATGGAAGTAAAATAGGCATCCCAACCTCAAGTCTTTTAAAAGTAGCAGCAGCTAATCTGCTTTTCCAATTATGTCATCCAAATATAAAACTACTAGTATTTTCCCAATGAGATTATTAAGTAATTAACACTCTACAGGCTGGCTAACAACATGCTTACCGCTAAATTCTACCTGGAGAACCACACTAGCAAACTCTTTTCAAATTAATCCTACCTACCAAACTCAGACAGTAATATGACAAAACCACTAAAAAATCCAAACTTAATTAAAAATACAAAGCCAAGCTAACATCATAACACAAACTTCTCAAACTCTCTGTGGTTGGAGCTTGGATGACAAAGGAAGGCATAGTGGTGGCCCTACCTGGGTCAAGTTGCAAGGCTGAGATGGTTCAGTATACTTGCTCAGACGGAGCTGCCTGTTACTCTGCCCTTTTCCCCACCTCCATTGTGCTTACTTATTAATAGCCATGTCTCACACCAAGTCTCCATCAAGGTCTAGAGGCACAATCTCTCACTGCCATCCACATGTCTTCCCATAAATTGGTATGTCCTTCCCATAAATTGATATACTGAAGAGATTCACTTGAAAAAATATCTCAATCCCTCAATACCCCAAATAGCTGCACACCTGCCACACACATCACCATTTACAATGTGATGAATAAATACAGTGCCTAGAAAACAGCAACAATTCTTAATCATGAAACCGAAAGATGTCTCATCTCCAGGGATAGGAAGGTAATTCATCCTCTATGTTTAATTGGTTTCTAAACTGCTTTAAAAATGTGTCTTCTAAATAATCATGTGGTGATCCAGAATGTAACTGTCATATTTGATAACTATGCTGCTGACTCGGCACATGCTTACATTTAAGCCACTAGAGATGACAGAGAATCCTCTTGCCTCCCTGTTGTATAATAAGTAGATATAACAAGTTGCTGAAACTAGAGCTGCAAGTCTTTCATCCATGAGGCAATATGCTTGTTTCTCTGGGAAACTGTCCCTAGCATTCTAATGTCTAGTTTCCAGAGATTGAATTTCAAGAAGAAATTACTCCTAAATCCATGATGGTCTAGGATCATAGTCTAGGTTGAACTTACAAGTAAAGCCAGTGGGCTTCATTATATAGTAATAGCCAGGTACTCTACCTGGTAAGCCATGGAAAACAGAGAACCCGAGTCACTGCAAAATCATCAGCTTAATTTTATATGTGATACCCACCTTGGGTGTTCAGAGTCTTTCATATTATCACTTTCCTCCTTTAAGAAGCTCAGAAAAGATTCAGGTTTCATTTGTGTGTGTGTGTGTGCATGTGCATGCATGCATAAGTGTTGTTGAGACTGCAAATGTAAAGCTCAACCACAGTGGGAGCATAAAAAGTGCTGGGTTCAGCTGCTGAGATGCTCCCATCAGTCATATTAACAACATGGCTTCAGCCATTGGAGTACAACTTCCACAACCTTATTATACAACAAAGGGCCTTAAACTCAAAGATGACCAGAGTATAGCTCAAGTCTGGCTCTTTTGCAACTGGGGATATATCTAACCTTGCCAATGAGAGTGTAGAATGATCACCTGCTGTTCCTATCACAAACCTGTATGACTTGCTTTAAAATCATACAAGTTTGCATCTTTCATGTGCATATCTATATCTGGTCATAACTCAGTGAACAGAATTCAATAACTCAGCAGATTAAAGGCTATGTGGATTATACCAGTATTATATACTGGCAGGTAATTACAAGTAACTAATACATGGATAGTGTTTACTACAAGTGGGAAACTCTTCTGATGAGCTGGAACATCAAAGATGATATTTACATTGTGATATTTAGGGACATAAAATGAATGTAAAGGATCATAAAAAGGGGAGTAGTCACAACCAATGAAGAAATGTTTCCAAATTAGATGAACTGTTCAATCTTCAGGGCTCTTTCGAAGCACCTCAGGATAAAGACTACTCCAGGACTCATTGCTTTTTTTTTTTTTTTTTTTTTAAAGCTAGCTACTACTTAGGGAGCTTGGAGTTTTCTTTGGGATTTTCATGGAAATGATTCATGTTAATATAGACTTTAATAAAACTCAGTGCTCATATTTCAGTCAAAAGCTAATGAGCCAAAAATGAAAAAAATAAAAAAAGGAAAATGAAAGGAAAGATAGATAAAAGACAAAAGAAAGTAGAAAAACGAAAGAAATCTTGTAATACAGAAAATGTGGATAATAATTGGGGAAGTTCAGGTTTTAAACTCACTAAGAAGAAAACTGTATATTATTACTTCTAGGTAGTGATAACTTGACTTTTGTTTCCATAGATTTGAGCAAAACACAGTTAAAAAAATCCTTCCAATGATGGAACCACCTACCAACTGCAAAGGAGGCGGAAGTGTGAATTCCTTCTTGGACATTTTCCAGACCTCTCTTATCTCCCAACTCTAAAACTGGAGTGTAGCATTTTGGCTACTAAGGTGTACATCTACCAAACTGCTCCTCAGAAGGAGAGCTTTGCACAAAGAGAAGCCCAGGTGAGGATTTATGTTTCAAATCATGGAGTTCATTTATTTATGACAGCTGATGCTTCTTAAGTTGTCAAAATAAATGTTGCCCCTCCTTCTCATCATTAATTTTTTTTAAAAAAAAACAGGGAATCATAAAAGGGATGCTAAAAAGAAAGTCCTCTGTTTGTGTGGCATAGCATCATTTTAAGCGTGGCATTGCTATGCTCATTTATGTTCTTGAAACTCTTGATTTTATGATGTTGCTACAACATCTAACCAGTGGGTTTTGGCAATGAAAGTCCTCACCTGAAGATTGACTCTGTGGGAACCACAAAAGATTAACAATGGATTCTGAAACATTCTCTTGTAGACATAATAGGAGGATGGTTAGTGGTGCAAATCTCGGCAGGTCCCTTGTGCCTATGTTCTCAGGAACCTGTCATCTTCACAAGTGATTCCCATTCTTTGTGTTGGGTAGTGTGGATGTAAAATAATTTTGTAGGAACTGTCATTCTATAAAGCACAAAAAGATGGTGGGATCTGAGAAATGTATATCAAATGCTCAAAATGACTAAGCAATAAAACATACACTGCTCTCAAGTTGTACTGTCCACTTACAATGACTTCTGTTTTTCACAGAGATCAAAAGAAGCATAAAAGAAACATAACCAAAGAGAACTTTCCCCAATGCGTGAAGTTCCACCAGTGACTGTCGGTGCGCTGGCAGAGGTACAGGGATGGGTGGTGACACTGGAAATGGGAGAGCACCCACTATAACAAATGGGCGTCGATACGCAGCCAACACAGTCCCTGGCGAACGTAGCGGACAAGATTGGTCATGCTGCTGTGCTGGGTCAGAGGCCCCATCAGCGTGTCCAGATCGCCAAAGAATTCTGAAAAGCAGAGCAATCCTTGGTCAGACTGTCGCATGTTACCATGCAAATATGTACCACATCGAGAAGCAGCCTTCATGCAATACCACAAGCACGTGCATGTTGGAAAGGTTATTCATTTATTCATGTGTTCATTCAACAAACATTTATAGAGTCCTGACTAGGGGACCAAAACTCCATAAATATACATCAAGTACTGTTATTTTAATCTTAGTGAGCTCCAATACCTCTGTAGCACCCACAGTGTTTGTGTTAAGGTGATTAATAAAGTACAAGTTTATTTAAATCTGTTACTTAATTCATGGCAAGTTTTCTCAAAAAAAAAACACTATACATTTTCTCACCAGATTCTAAAAGTACATTATAATCCTATAGAAGTTTGTTTTTATATATATAAAATATATACACATATATATCACTGTATATTATATGTAAGTATATATTTGTCTATATATTTATATAAAAATTTTATGTAATATATTTGTATATTTAAAAATATACACATAAATCACATATAAACATGTTTAAGTATATTTTATACTATATAATAAATTTATGTTTTTATGTATTACAAATTTATATTTAGAAAGGGATCTTTACACACAAAATGGTGGGGAGCCATGGTCTATCTGTTGTCAAGTTGTCATTCTTTGTGTCACTGAATTGAAAACATTATCTTTTCCTTTTGTCTAAATGAATTGAGTTTGCTGATTTTTCCTGGCACGGTGTAGACAAAGCCAGTGAATCTAGACAGCAGTTATAGCCATCAGCCTCCAGAGACAAATAAACGTCTAGGAAGAATCTGATTTGGTAAGTCTTATTTAAGATTTACTTTAGGGATGGAAAATGACCTGCAAGTATCTGTAATACAGCAACATCCCTTGCCCCCTACCCCAGGGCATGAATGGTGGGAGTGCCCAGCTGACTACCCCTTTGCTGACTTGGAGAAGGGGGCAGGCCTGAGGCTACACTGTTAACCAATGTGACTGGAGTTTTAGAATATCTGCCTTGCCGGGTGGAGGTAGTATGTGGGAAAAAAACATATGATGTCTAAAAATTAGCTAGGCATCCCCTTTTGACATTTTAATTCATTTATCTGGCACTTGGCTATGAGAGAGCTCTCTGGTGTCTCCTTTGTTAGCTTCTGTAGGAGGAGTCAGCCTCAGCTATGAGAAAACCATGCCTGCCAGGGGTGAGCAATCTGAATTGGGGGCAGGGTAGGGGGTGGATCCAGAGACAGCCCTAAAGTGGTTGGGATGCTCTCCTGCCTTCTGGGAAAGCAATTTCCATGAAAGGGTTACATGTGCTTGATTGTTTAGCAGATGATATTTCACCAAACAATGAATTTATTCTTCACATTATATATAACATATGGGCTCCTTCTCTAGGTATTGATTTAATTTGATTATGTGATACTTTTTAACCTGTACTTTGGAATAAAAATAATTTCTGCTGATATAGGAGTAAATTACTTTTGGCATCTAAAATATTTTCTTCTGGAAGACAATATTAAGAAAAATGTTAAAGGACCTAGTCATTCTTGAATGAATGTGAGCCTCATGTGAGCCAGGATGTTCCCCAGGTATTCTGTACAAAGCTCTCTACAGCATTCTTAATTAGATGCCCAGGTCACCATTTTAACTGCTCCAAGTGAACAGTGTAAGCAGCTGGGCAGGTAGGGAACAGGGTTTCTAGACCAAAGGTCAGAGAGCTTCATCAACCCCATTGGTCCATTTCAGCACCAGAACCTTCTGCAATAAGCTGTGTGTAGCTGCTTAGTGGGCTGGCACGAGGTGGAGGTGTAGACTTTCCACTGGGACATCCAACCTCACCCATCTCCACTGGACAGTTGGGTAGAAAAAGGTGCAAGTGCATGCTTTTCTCCAGTGAGATGCAGAGCTCCAATCAAATGGGAAACTCTTCATTTCCCCCATTTCTATACAAATAAGTCAGATATGAGAAGAATCCCTAAAGCTAAGCAGATAAAAAATGGCAAGCATGTGAAACTCAAGGCTGTGAGCAGAAGATTCCACAATAGGTCCTCTCCCCAGTTCACTGAAAAGCCCAGTGATAGCATTAGCAGGACACATTTTCTCTCTGCAGGTGGAGTGACAGAGTTATTGTGATTCAATATTACATAAGGAATTTAGCAACTCCTTGACAGGCTGTGCTAATGACAAGATTAGCACCATTTCACCCTAACATCAGCACAGCCACCACATTACTCCTGAAAAGTTCTGTAGTTAATTTAGAAGGAATTACTTTAACAGATTTTTGAAAATAGATGCAATGATAAGGGAAATCCATAAATATTGACATGTCCTGTAGTTACCAATACAAAATAAGACAGAGATGGTGGAGGCAGACAAGCAAGGCAAATGTTAAGATATGTCTTCGTTTGCAATTCTACAACTCTTGGATGGGGCTGGTTGTGTGCTCCAGTTGTCTCTGGATTTCCAGAAGTCTAGAGAAGTAGACAAGTTAGAAATTGCCCATTGTTCAGGTAAGTGGTTCAGGATCCCAACTACGGTTTCTAAGGATCTATTATTAATCTTTCCATGTGCATGGGCAGTGTAGTGTATTGTTTAGGAGTTTGGGCATTGTGGCTCATGTTCATAATCCCAGTACTTTGGGAGGCCAAGCCAAGGATTGCTTGAGGCCAGAAGTTCAAGACCAGCCTGAGCAACATAGCAAGACCCCCATCGCTATACAAAATTGACAAATTGCTAGGTGTGGTGATGCATGGCTGTATTCCCACCTATTCAAGAGACTGAGGCAGGAGGATCACTTGAGCCCAGGAGTTTGAGGTTGCAGTGAGCTATGATGATACCACTGTACTCTAGCCCAGGTGACAGAATGAGATCCTGTCTCAAAAAAAAAAAAAAATCATAAGTGTGTGAAACTCAACAATTCCTGACATATTCCCAGGAGTTCTGGGCTGTGAGTACTCTGGGGCTTCGGAGAAGAATTGGGCCAGGAGGCTTAATAAGTCCTTCTTGGTTAAACCCATGGGGATTTCCATCTGTCTGCACATAGGTGGCCAGCAGCCCCAACCTGATTACTGGAAAGCCATATATAGTCATCCCTAGGATGCCTGTGGATACCCAAAACAGAGGATGCTGAAATCCCTGTTATAAAATGGTGTGGTATCTGCATATAACGTACACACATCCTCCTATATACTTTAAATCGTCTCTAGATTACTTATATTACCTAATACAATGTAAATGCTCTGTAAATAGGTGTTACAGTATATTTTTAAAATTTATATTATTTTTATTGTTGTATTGTTATATTTTATTGTTTCTTTTCCTGAATATTTTCGGTCCGTGGTTGGTTGAATCCATGGATGTTGAACTAGAGGGCCTACTGTGACTGCTTGTGACCTAGCAGCACTCAAGCCCACCCGATGCAACTTGGATGGTGAAGGATGCTAATGTCTACCCATTACTGGGCAGAAATTTCTACTAATCTAAACTGCTGGTCACCTCTTTGTACTATGATTCTGAAAGGACCACAGCTGTCTTGACCTTGAGTGTAGTAGGGCAGTCTGTGACTACTGGGCCAAAATCAGCTAAGTCAAATGAATGGCCAAGGCAAAAGCACAGCTTGTTTTTACTTCCCACCTTCATTAGGATATTGAGGTTTTGTTGTGAGTCTAAATGACAGCTAGGGTCATAGATGGTAGCATGAGTCACCAAAGATCACTAGTCCACTTTATGGTGAAGCAGGGTCCTCTCTGCATTTGTTTTGTAGCAAACCTCACATGTTACCATGAACAGGGCCCAATCCTTCATCTCAGCTATCAGTGTGTGAAAAATACTAGCTGAGCTTTGGCCCTTGCTTCCCAATACAAGCAGCATTATCATGCATTCACCTGAGGCTGATGGTTATAATGAAGGTAGAAGGCCTTAGTTCAACTTCACCTCTCAAAAATAAATAAATAAACAGAAGACAACAGTATCTTAATTACTTTTCAAATCATTCTTTTTCTTTTGTTTCTGTTTCTCTGTGTTGGTCCTTGTCCCTGAGTAAAATTTCAAAATAGTTATTTGCCAACACATCACAGTTCAGACTATTTTAAGCTTTAAAGGAGAACAAAATCCCAGACCGTTTTCACTCTCAGTAGTAATAGGTCACTATGTCAGCCCTAAGTGAACCCTCCCCTTCCTTCATCTAAGCCCTGGAAATCAGGAGACATAAAGACAGAGGGCCACTAGTTAAAACTCAAGTCCTGCAGAGCACAGCTAACTCCATTGTGGTCTGGGAGCAATGGGTGGAGCAAACGAGCATACCTTTGTTCTCTCGTGTCAGTTTGTCGGCCATGTCCCAGTGTTCGTAGCCCCGTAACACGTTGCTAGTGATGTTGACATGGCTAGCGGCCATGTGGTGAATGCGCTGGGGGATGGTGACTGGGCCATTATTGCAGTTTCCCATTGTGTTGATGGGAGAGACATTGTTGAGAGACACTGGGGATGGAGTGTTCCTTGGGAATGGAAAGAGATAGGCCTTGTTAGGCTAGTAGGGAAGAGTGACAGTGGGGTTCGAGTGAAGTTTAGCATGGTGGACACACACGAAGCCTCAGTGGAGTGCAGCTTGTTCCCACGTCCCACCAACTGTTCTCTGAGGACATCCTATAGCTTCCATCAATACAACAGCTTCTTCCAGAGATTCCAGTGTAGAGAGAGCATATTACCACCCCACACCTGCCTCATCTGACCAAGCCACTCAGGTTAGAGTGGCAGGCTGTAGAATGAGCCCCCTATTCTCCTTTTCTAACATTAAACATCTCACCACCTTTGAGAACCACTGAGGGCCCATGTACACTGCTGCTTTTGTCTTAAAATACCAGAGATATTGGGGGTGAATATTTCTCTGGCATTAATTCTACCCACAAATTTAGCTCTTACTTTGAATATATATGTATAAATAACAAGTGTTGTGATGATTCAGAGAAAGAAACAGCTCAGAGCTATGACGATTTCTCCACTGCTGCCAGAATAACTATTGGCAGTTAGAAAACATTTCATGTGTAATATTGGTCTATTGTCAAAAGTATTTTGTGGAAACCACAATGACAGTTTGTCCCAAATACAGTTGACACAATGAGCAAAGTGCAACTATTAATAGCCCCTGAAGGAGTAGTATTGGGGAAACTGGAAAAAGTAGGATTCTGAATATCTCTTTAGGATTCTTTTAGACATGCTACAGAGATAGGCTGTTAATTGGTGACTCTTCACTTGCATGCTGGTTTATCAAGAGAAGTTTTCAGAGAACCCACTTTGGGAAGTACCAATGTTTGGACACAGATTTTCGTTGAATTGCTTAACATCAGCAACAAGGGATCACCTGCTGGCTACACACAACATGGAGGTCATTTTTCCTCTAGGGCCCAGGCTTAGGTTGGCCTGATACAGACTGATGCACGGACATCCTCAAAGCACAACTTGCTTCCTGTGCACAGGAACAAGGTCTGTGTGCCCCTGGGCCTCCCTATCTTCCTCCAGCCATACTTAGAACAACTGTCCAGGCAAATGCACCACTTTATTAGGACAGAACATTTTGAGAGAGTAAAAGAAATGGGGGAAGGCTGTGTTTGGCACTCCATGGGTCTGCACGTTTGAAGGAACCTCCTCCTCATTTCTCTGAACACACCCCAGATCATTAGCAAGAAACCTTATGTCATCCTCAACCCCATCTCCTTACCAGCTGCTGTTACTGGCAACTCTAATTTTCCAGGGTGGCTCACAGAACAGACATGTACCCTGACTGGCAACACACACATATGATTTGGGGGAGCAGAAATCACAGGGTGCCAAAATGCCAAAGTACTGTAGACTAGATCTGGGAGCAATTACAACTAAAATGCTCTCCTCGAAAAACACAAGCTGTGCCTATACCCACGGGAGAGATTTGGACCATTTCTGCCAACAGAGCTAACTTCTGGTATGTTCTGGTCTGAGGGGGGAAGTAGAACCTTGCACTTGCTCTGTGCTTGTCTGCTGTAAGAGGCTGTGAGCGTATTCCTGCCATATCTATAATTTCTGAAATATTTTCTTACTTCTTGGTACAATGATTATTCTCAAGGTAGGAGTGGGATGAGGAGATGTCCACACTAAGGGGCTTAGACACAGAAGAGTTAGCTAATGACAAAAAAGCAGTGAATACTGGGTTTCTCTTTTGTGGTAGTTTGCAAATGTTATTTTCTAGTCTTTTCCCCCAGTGGTGGTCATTAACTCTTAAATGTCAATTTATGGCAAGAATGGAATATGGTCTCACTTGTAAACTCTAGAGAAGATGACAAAGCTGTCAAGTGCCACAAATGTTGAAAGAGGGACTAAGGGATACTGGGGGAAAGGTACTGGAATCCCAAGAGCATGTTTTCTCCCCTTGCTGGGCCTAACGTCCTTCAACTGAGAGAAAAACTTGGATTCAATGATTTCCAGCCATGAACCGAGTCACAAAGGAAAGAAAATCATCTCTCTTTACCTTGTACATCTTGAAAAGCCCCTTTCCTTTGAACTGATCACACTAAGGTGTTATTTAGGAGTTCTCTTCCATTTCCATTCCCTGTTTTGTTTCTCTTAAATACTCAGTAGCAGAAGCTAGAAGAGCTAGAGTAAGCGTTTGTTTGGGGTCATTACTATTCTCACACTGGGCTCTAAGATCTGATGTGTTCTGATGAACATGTGCACACCTCACGTTGTACTCATGAAATGAAAAAATATACTATAAAGCCTGCCTAAGAAATTGTGACTGTGGCTAAAAGAAGGCTGATGCAGAGCTCACTGACCTTGGTGTCCTCTCCAACTCTGACTTGGCTCTCATCACTGCTTAGGGTTCCCCTTCCTGCTCTTTGTATGTGTCTACATGCAGATATCGTCCTTTTCTCCACACTTCCATGGCATATGCCAGTGAGCATGCACACATACAAGCACATGCTTCCCACCACTTTCGCCAACCCAATACCCTCTCTCACCTCTCAGCCACACTCACTCCCTTGCTTTTTCTCAAATTCATCATACTCCCTCCTACTCCAGAGGCCACTGCCATCTCTCTGCTTAGAAGGTGCTTCCCCCAGATATGGGCATGGCTTGCTCTGCCATCCTTTTCTAATGTCCCCACTCAAGATTCAAGACTGTACAACTTCTCCCTCCCCTCTCCACAGCAGTCCTTTCTGTCTGCCTTCCTTGTTTCCATTTTCTCCATGACATTTACTTTCATCTAGCATGACACATATTTGTCATTGTCTTTGTCCTCCAATAGAATGTGGCCTCTGTGAGGGCAACAGTTTTTGTCTATTTTTCCCTGTGCTATACCTCAGCATCTAAAGTAGTGTTTGGCACAGAATATGTCCTCAATGAATACAAATTGAATAAATGATTGGATTGCTGTTATTCCTTATTTACTATCCACTGCATATAAAGTGTTCTGGAGGGAAGAAGGAGAACAATGTGTACAGAATAAGGACAGGGTATATGTTTGTAAAGGATCAGGCACAGTGTCTCATACATAAAGGGCATTTGATGAATATTTGGTGAATGAAAGGATGCATGGTCCCTTATCGAAAAAGAGCAAATGATCTAACAGAATACTGAAATCCCATATTTTCTGACAATGTAGCATAACGGTCAAAACTTAAGTACAGACCAAGATCTGTGGGGCAGGATGGCTTATGCTTTCCAACTTAAAAAGGCAACAATGAAAATAATACCAGTGGCAGCAATGGCAGCAGTCACCATTTATTGAGCAGTTACTGTGTGCCAAGCATAGTGCTCAGGGCTTCACAACAATTCTATGGGGAAATGTCTGCTACCACTGTTTCACAGATGACAAAATGGCATCACAGAAGTTCAGCTCCTTGCTTAGGGCCACACAGTTGAAAAAGCCAAAGAGCCAGGATTTAACAATAGGTATGTATTCCTCCAAAGCCCATTCTCTTTCTATTCCACTATGTTGCTTCAAAGCCCTACCATCCACCTGACTAAAGATTTTAGCTAACATGAGTGTCTATCTTTACCCTCTCCTTCGTGTCCACATTGCTTTGTTTCTACTCCCCTCCTGGGGCTTGTAGGCATCTCATGGATGTTCACACAGGCACAACACTCTGGAAGCTTGGAGAGAATCTTTTGCTTGGTCTGGATGGTTCCCTCAATGACCACCAGACTCCTTGCATTCTTGAACTGGCCAATGTCTCAAACAAGTGGAGATATACCTTCTTCTAGCTCTTTCAATGTGACACCCACATCCACCTGTGTACTGAAATGGCTCTTCTGAAGACCTCAAAAGGCCTCCTCTTTCAACATTCAATAGTCTTCCTAGCCCTCTTTCTTTTTATTACCTCTCTGTGACATTTGAGATTGTTGCCCAGCCCTTTTATACTCTCTACAATGTGGCTTCCATAACTGTATGTTAGAGGTTGGCAAATTGGCCCTCCTTTTTCTGTATTGTCCGCGAGCTACAAATGGTTTGAAAACATGAATATTTTCAATCAATCTGATGAGAGAGACAACACGAACTTTGAATAAGCAAAATGTTATTCTAAAAAAACAGAAATATTCTTCTTAGTAGACTTACATTTCAAAAATTATACTTAATTACTAATATTTTTTTTTATTTTGTCAGTAGAAATTTTGTGGAACTTTGCTTTCTGTCTTATATTCTTCTATATTACTGTGGAAATTTGTTTTCTTTCTTATATTCTTCTATGTAACAGCCTCAGTTTTACCTATTGGCTTGCAAGGCCAAAAATATGTAGTATCTGGCCTTTTATTGAATTTGCTGACCCTTGTTCTAAACCAAGCAGATTTTTCTCCTCCTTCTTCCAACTGCTTCTTCTTTGCACTTCCTTTCCTCAGCCTCCACAGAGGCTGTATCCTGAAGGTCTGTTCTCAATCCCTTGCTTGTCTCTCCAGGTACTTTCCTATGCAGCCCTCATCCATGGAGAGCTGGCCATGTCATTACCACCTCTGGGCAACTGACTTCCTAATTGCTAGCTGGCCTAGAAGTGTTTGAAGTCAGAGAGTGCAGCTCCTGGAATGTGCTGTGAGAGGCCCTTTGCAGGGTACACCATGCTCATTGACTAGGAAATCAGGCCATAGTCTTGCTTGCAGACAAGAAGCCCTTACTGGCCACACAGGGAGGCCCAAGCTCTTTCTTCAGGGCTTACACAGCACTTTTTTCAAATCTGCCACCTCCCTATTCAGGACTGTGTGCTTCTGGAGTTCAGGTGCCACATTGAATTCAGCTCTGTGTCCCCAGCCCCTAGTGCTACAGATGTGCCCAAAGTGTTTGCTGAATGAAGAGGATTCAACCTCTGGGAGACTGTTTTGAGTTGTCTCATTCAAAAGCTCTATGGCCTACTAAAGGGAGTATGCTTTCTTCAGACAGAAGCTGCTTAAAAAATTATTTCAGGAGGCTTTTCATGTAGCCTCACAAGCTTAGGATATGTTTGAGTTCTTTTCGTTTTGTAATTAAAAAAAAAATAAATACACATTTTTTTCTTCCAGTGATCCTTTAATAGCTGCTTACCTGACCTTGCCCTTGCTTTACTCTGTGATCAGAGAAAATAGCTTTCTCTGGGCCTTTCCTTGGTTATTTTTATTTTCTGAACTTCCAGAGAGAACCGTTCTTTCCCTTCTGTTAATCAATATAAGAGTAAGACCTAATTCAACAATTTTAAACGGTGCTTCCTTTCACTACAGTAATTGAGTTAATGCGCAGTTTTTAATGGATCTTTCCTTAGCTCTGAATGTTTTTATGATCTCAAAGTAGAGTTCATTCTCCCAGTGCTTTTGGAGTACACTTTCTAGATATTTATAAAGTGGTAGTGGAGACTGTTTTATTCTTGAAGAAAATGTTTTGATCAGAGATGCATGAATTTTAATGATGAAAAATTGAAAAAGCAGCTTGGAGTTGTAAAACAGGCTCTTGGCAACAGTCTATGTCCACAGTCTTCTTGCTTCTCTTTCTACTACTAGGGTGGAGGTGAGCTTAGGGTGGTGAGGGAGGTTTGGGAATCAGAGAAGAAACTGATTTTCAGACAAGTTAGCAAAGGCACATAACCACTTCCTAACTACAGCAGAACTGGGATTCAAACTCATTTTCTATATGAAATGTCTCTTCAGTAGGCATTGGGTCCAGACCCTTCATTTTAGCAAGAGAGAAACAAGCTCAGATAGAGGAAGGGGCCCACTTAGCTTATCGTGTGCCAACGGCATCCTCAGAACCAAGCCAATGGTTTTTGGACTCTACTCCTCTGCTCTTAAGACTGACCTCCCCCAAGCAAATAGAACTCTAAATAAGGCCACAGGCATGAGTGAGTTCACTGACCCTAAGATCAGCATTATAGTAGATGTTTTTATATTTTATGTCAGGGTGTTTCTGTATTAATAAAAAAAAATCATGAAGGCTTAGATAATTTGCTGACCAAGTGCCTTCACATTTTTCACACTATTATGTCTTTCATTTTATTAAACAGCACTTACCATATATCAATGAATATTTCATTGGTCTTTCATTACTGAGTGAATCATTGACAAATTACTGCAATAGAGTTAACTTTCCTCTGCCTCTCTGAAATGGCATGGTGCTTGCCATCTCATTAGCAGATATTTTTATGGCTATAATTTGGCTTAAAGATCAGATAGCTAAAGAATTGGAACCACATCATTTTAAATTTTTCTGTGTTGTCATTAGCTGAAACCTGGCTAGATTTTTGTGTGCAAAGAAATCACTGTAGGTTCAGAATTGACCTTTGCTCTTGAGTTGTCAATGTAAAATATTTGGGGTCTATTAAATTACTCATTTTTGTGAAAAAGCAATTTTCATAAAATACTTACTTTCCATTGCCTACCCATGGAGATGGTATCTGAGCGACTTTTGAAGCATTTTGCTAAAAGAGAGAAAGAGAAAGGGAAATAAGGACATCTATTTTGTGTTTTATTAATTCAGAAACAGACGGAAGTGTGATTTAGAGTACATTAATATTGATTGCGGCATTTCGGGATGCAGAGCTGGGATGTATGTACACGTCAGCACACCACGATGCATACTCGATGAAAATAGCTGGTTAGGATAATTAGTGGGCTCCAATCAGGACCATGAAAGTCACTTGATGAAAGATCTTATATACTAAAAGACCCAGTGAAATCAGACTCAGTTCTCCAAGAAGTGGTTTAATTATCCTCATCTGAAATTTATTCTGCAAAACAAGCTCTTCAGAGTACAAGTAAGCTTTTCACCTTTAGCTCCACTTGCAAACTTTTTCCCTGGGATGCAAGGTGGACTGTAATTTCTAATATCCCAAGAATGTGCCAGAACCAAATAGCATTTTTCTGTTTGTTTGTTTTGCAGAATCGTCTTGATTTGCTGTCTTTACATGCAAATCCTCATGGCTGAAGATTTTCCGTGTTTAACAAGGTTTAGAGTTGCATTGCAATGGAATGCTAAACATTCTTTTGTTTCTCTGATGGAACTGGGCTGTTTTAAAGAATGGGCCTCTTTGTATTTTCATAGCCACACGCTCCTGGATCAGAGGAAAATCTGACATTCAGCATTATCAAAACAGGACAGGGATCAGGCTCATTGTAATGGCCTTGCCAGGTTGAAGCTCAAGCATCACAGATAGTCATGACACCTGTGGCGTTGAGACTGCCTCAGACCTACTCTTGGCAGTCACAGCCTAGATGATGTTCTTCCTCTGCCTCTGGTCTTCCAGACCAGCCCTGTTTGCAAAAGGGGTGTTAGAGAAAGAGTCAGAATTTTCAGGAATCCAGTAAGAATGTGAAGCTTCCCTAGAGCTGCAGAAACCCACACCTAAGATATATTCTGCACACTCCTGTTTTTATCCTCAAAAACCCTCAAGATACTTCTACATGAATGAATTATTTAGCATTTGCTTGGAATTTTGCAATGCCCTAAAAGCTACACAGGACAGGCCAGAGAGGACAGATAACTAGAGCAGTGGTTCTCAGAGTGTGATAACATGACCAGCAGCATCAGTGTCACCTGGGAACTTGATAGAAATGCAAATTGTTGCGCCTGGCCCCAGACCTACAGAATCAGACACTTGGTGGTGGGGCCCAGTACTCTGTGGTTTCACAAACCCTCCAGGGAATTCAGATTCTTGCTTAAGTTCAAGAACCACCTTTCTAGACCATAGGTTGACAGGATAGACATACGAAAGGATGGTGAGATGATGTATGTTTCTCCCTTTCACTAACATGAGCACTAGGTTTATGGAATTATGGGCCCACAAAATAATAGCTGGATAACTTGTTTTTTCCCAACCAAGTCACAGTGTCCTCATATAGCTGTGTACCACACTCACTGGATGTTTGATGGTTTGATATAAGGTCATGATTTGATTCATTTCAAATAACTATTTTGGTGCAATTTAACCAAAAGGTCTCATGCACTTGAATATATATAGTATAAAAATATACTATATATATATATATTATATATATTCTTTTCATTTGGAAACCTATTCAACAGAATGAGCATTGAGCCTCCCAACTCTAAATCATGGGTCAGTGGTGTTGGAGGAGACAGTGGCCAGGCCTAGCACCAGACTTCTGCTTACAATTTTTGTCTGAGCTCATTCCCAAATTTTGGCATTGCATTTTGTGGTTCCCTTTTTTTTTTTTTTTTCTTGCTTGCAAGTTAAAAATGCCAGCTCTCTAGATCATGGCTTTATCTGTTTGTCTATTTTGGTAACCATGGCAACCAGTTGTCTTAAATTGCAGCCACCAAACTCCAAGACTCCCCATGGCCAAAGGCCTTCCAAGAGTGTGAATGTCCACTCAGAGCCAGGGTGGCCACAGTGACTTCTCTCACCTCTGAGAGATTCCTAGACTGACTTCTCATTTAACAAGAGACTTGAACTATACCAGAGCAACAAGCTGTATCCACGTTGCAGGGTGGGGCAGAAGATAACATCCTTCTAACTGCAACTAAGAGGCTGCCAAGGGCCATTTGGTCAGTCTGGAAAATAGTTAGGGGGTTGTACTCTTGTACCTTCTCTCCTTGCAATCAAATCAGATGTACGTTCTTTGCTGAGCCCCAAAATTGGGGTAGAAGGGCCATGGCTGGCTGGGACAACAGAGGTTAAGCCTTTGGCAGCAACAACCTTGTCTTTGTCATTTGACATTTAATACCATGCCATGATTAGTGATTTTATCACCCTATACCTGGGAATGATACAAAATAGGAATTACCTTAAAATATTCCATCAGTGATCTGGAGTACTTCATAGCATGGTCCTTCTTCAGTTTAAACATCCTCAGGTAGAGAAGCGATAAACATCGGTAGCTGTGGTGATAAGGAGAGGCTTACGTTAATGCTAGTGCTTAATGAAACCTATAAACTGTAAGAAGAATGCTAATACATAGTTTTCAGTTACTCCCCTACGGTTAGATTGAGAAACAAGTAAATAAAGAAAAAATTTTAAAGGGAAGGGGTAAGTATTAAAATCCCATTTTGATAAGGGTGTAAATTAGGAGAGTAAATGTTTAGTGAGCAACTGAAGAAATCCATTAGTTATCCTTTAATAGTTTAATGGAAAACAAGAGTAATGATCTGGGGTAAGTAGCTTAAGTTGATCTGGAGTTTTCAAATCCTCTTGTGACATTTCAGCAGTTTCCTTGTAGCCTCCATGGGACTCACCATAATACTGCTAGCTTTTTGTCCCCATCCGAAGCCAATGGGCTTGCAAAGTTCTTCAGCCTCATTGCATACCTTTGAAGAGAAAGTGGAATCTCTATTACCCTTCAGAAATTCCCAAAGTCATTGGTATTCTGATCGCCTGAATGAGTTAGCCCCACATTTTCTCTGGGTGGGAGGACTGACTGGCTCATGTGAGCAGAAGCATGCTTTCCTGAAAACACACACAAAATAGGGACCAAAACAGCACAAGAGGACTGATATGACATACAAAATTGAACTCCAGAGAAAGCGGCTAAATCATAAGGCCACATTATAGGAAAGTGCTATAGAATTACTGTTAGTTTGCATGTGTGTATAAATACTGGCAAAATACCGTTTCTAGGAACATTCTAGCTAAACAACATTATTGGTTTTCAATGAGAGGTGGACAAAAATGTCAGTCTCAGTTCAGTTTATGACAGATGAGGTAAATAATATACAACTATGTTTGACATGAGCACGAGGAGACCTCAATCACACTGTTAAAAGGTCTTTTCCGATGGCTCAGGTTTTGAATATATTCCTACAAAAAGTGGTTATTTTTAAAGGAAGGTCGATTTCACAGCATTTTAAGGTCTTGCTAAGCACCCTTAATTTATGGTGCTTCTATATTTTGTCTTTCCATTCTCTTTAATTGTCACTACTCCGCACCGGGGTGATAAAAGGTTGAGTAGTTCCCATTTTTTTTTTTTTTATTTCTAGCCAAGCACATTCCATTCTGGGCATTTAGACTCTTGAAAATCAATTCATTGCATAAAACCATTGTCTGAGCTTTAATGCAATTTCATAGGTACTTGTGGTAGAGTTTAGTATGGCAGAAGGAAGTTGAAAATTCTCATTTATGAGAAGGCAATGGAGAGCCTGCAGGGCCACTGTACTTGTATACCCCACTCCTCACTTCCAGTAGCCTCCCCCAGGCACTGGAGACCCGAGGCTTCCCACTGCCCTACCCACTCCCACCACCCTGCCTCACAGACTCAGCCTGCCTCACCTGCATTCTAGCCGCCTAGCTCTCCCAGTTATTGCTCCAGTTCTGTTGAGTGAACATTTTCCAGAAAGGGACTTGTGCACTTGATGTGGGTCCTTTCTTTTGTTGCAATATTAAGTAAAGGGATTTTTATTATGTAATAAATCTAACTTTCTTTGACAGTTGGATCACTGAAATGTCAAGTCATTGTAATGCCTACTTGTTTTTACAAATACATTTCTATTGCAAATTCCCAGGGTCCCAAACAACTATAATTACTCGAATGCAGAAGACAATGGGGTACTCTCTCAGTAGCCAGCATACTATTAGGGAGAGAGCAATAAAAATCTCTTCAACATCATATTATGCTACTAAAAACTATGTTCGTATTATAGTTACCCTCTAATTGCAACCACATTTGAAATGACTTGATAGTGGACTTTCAATTGCTTAAATGGACCAGAAGACCTAGTTGCTTTAACTTATTTTGTTCCCAATTGAAATTTCTCTCATTAAAAAATTATACACACATACAACTTACTAAACATATAAAAAATGTAGAGAAGACACACAAACAATTGATTTAAAAATGGTGAAATCTGAAAAAAGCAAAACTAAACTGGTGAAATCTGAATTAAGTGCATGAAATGCATCAATGTCAATGTTCTGGATGTGATACTGTGCTATAGTTATGCAAGATGTTCCCACTGGGGGAAACTTGGGTGAAGGGTACACGGGAACTCTCTTTATTAGTTTTTACAACTGCATATGAATGCACAATTACCTCAAAATACAGTTTAAAAACATCGACTTTAAAGTGAATGCCTATAAATTCTCCATTGACTTTCAGGTTCCATAGAAATATACTTCTGTGGGTAGTAAAATATCATATAATGAAAAATAAACCATTCTTTTTCTCTAAAGAACATAATTTTGTAAACAATTAATGGAAATATTCTTTAACTATCAATATCACACTTTTACCATAAAATGAAATTTCATATTTTGCTTTTATATTTTTAAGACAGCATGTGTTTTCCTAAGAGAAAATTAATAAGAGATAAAAATATGTATAGAGAGAAAACACCCATCATCTCTCCCTGTATTAGAGCTATGATCTCATTTCCCCTCCAGTTTGGTTCAGATGAATATACACACTTTTCATGGTCAAAATTGTAGTGTGCATGTGATTCAGCAGCTTGGTTTACTTTAATATCATATTATAAATATTTTCATATGACTACACAGTCTCCTTCATTGTTGTATGTCAATGGCTACAAAGAATTCTGTTGAGTGTACTACTATGTAATTAATTACTTTTCTATTGATTATTTGGTTATCTTCTAATTGTATGTTATTATATATAATGCCAAAGTGAACATCATGCAGATAACTAGTATTACAATTATTTTCTTCCATAGAGGAAATTCAAATTTCTAGAAGTTGAAGTACTAGAACAAAAGATATTAATGCTCATTTTTATGGCTTTTCTTATGGAATGCCAACTTGCCTTCAATGTACTTTGATCAATTGCCACTTCCATCAGCAGCATAGGAGAGGCCTAGTTCACTACCAGGCTTTTTCTTGTTGTTATAGTTAATGCTAGGTATTACCGTTATTATATTTTATATTAATTTTAAAAGTGCCTTGTTTTAATTTGCCTTTTTGAATGACTAGGGAGCATGAATTTTCTCCATATTTGTTCACTAATGTTTTCCTTCAATGGGTAAATCCTTATAATTTTTGCCAGAATGTTCATCTTGTACATCTTTGAAAATCTCAGGTGGCCTTGATTAGACATTAAGCAATCAATTTCCCCTTGAAAGCTACAGAATGATGGTGGTGGCTTCCATAGCATATAAAGTAAGTTGAAGAGAAATATTTCACATCCTTTTCTGGTGCCTAGTCTCAGAGCAGTGCAAAGAGAAAGACGGCTGACTGGTCTGATATCCTCGTAATCACCCAAGTTTTGTGGCTTTAACTAACTTCTGATTCTATGTGAGCAGAGTTGCTTTTGTTTTTTTAAAGAGTTTCTTTTCTTTTGATCTTTTGAAATGCTTCATTGGGTAAATATGCATGCTAAATCAGTCCAATATTTGTCTGAAAATTTAGGTCCAGACATCCTCAGATTTGTAATAGTTTATGCAGATACAAGCAAGATAGTAAAATCCAGTCCTGGTATTATTGATTAGTTGAGCCAGAGGGGACTGGAACATAAGAGCCTATCAGGTAAAAACTGCTCACTCAATCAAAAGTGATTATTTAGTCCATCTAGCGAACAATGGCGCTTATCCACTATTCAGTCAGAGGTGGATTAAACTATTTTACAAATATCTGCAAATTACTGTAAAACACCAGAATGGATCTTTCTTCTTCTCCTATCCCTTTCTCCTCATCATCTAGGAATTTTTTGATAACCTACAAATTCTACACCACCAAGATCAACAGGCCAGAAAATTTCATTTAAAATGTAAATGAAAGTAATAATGTAAGCAGTTAATATACCCTCGCCTGTTCTCATCCTCTCATCTCTACTCCCACCCCCGAAACTACCTAGTCTGTTTCCCTTATCCCAGATGTATGGAAAGTCTACTCCATACCTACAGCCTTAAACACCAACTCTGAGTTGGAACAGTGTCCCTCCCTTTTTAACAATCGAGATAAAAAACCATGTTAGAAAACATGATTTTTAATAGAAATCCTGAGAGCACCACTTTTTTTTTTGAATTATAAAACTGTACCTTTGAAAAGATAAATTGATATTAAATGGTGAAATAATTATAATTTCTTTCCACCATGTTTCCAATTTAATGTTACAAATATTGTAAATTATAACACAATGTAACCTCTTAAGGGGATAATTTATAAAGGCAGTGTCCATCAATTCTAAATTTTCTATGACATTAATAAAACAGCAAGAACTAATTATGATGACTTTTAAGAATAAGATGCCTAGGACAAATTATGAATATGTGGAAATGATATTTTTTAAAAACATAGGTTCTAATTGTAGCTGAAATGAGCTTAGGAAGATGACTACAGAAAGGCCATTCACCTGAGGAGCTCCACAGTCTCAGAGTACATGGTGTATGGGGACTTTGCTTCCAGAGGGTCACGTTCCATGGCATTGCCACATTCGGTGAAGGAGAGGGCCGCATCGGCATAATTCACAGCTTTGCCAAATTTCTCGAACTGAAACAGGAAGATGACTTTGTCAACATGATACTCCCTCTTTTCTCCTTCATATGAAAGAGTAGTTTACAACTAGGGATATTTTTTTTCCCTTCCCACAGAAAACATTTGACAATGTCTGGAGATACTTTTATTAATAGTTTTCATCATAGGGGAGTGGGGGGATCTGGTATGCAGGGGCCAGAGATGAGCTGGACTTCTTGCAATGCCCAGGATAGCCACCACAATGGACAATGCACTAGCCCAAGATGCCAACAGTGCCAAGGCTGAGAAACACTGATGTAGGGAGAGGACAATGTATGAATTGGTATTGACGATGAAGTAACTGGTTGAAGGTTTTATTGTCATGTCCCAACACTGAGGCTGATTGAAAAGAGAAAAATATAGCCATGGTATCATAGGTGGTTTGTGATATTGTTATTGTTGTTATCATTATCTTTTTGGTGGACCAGAATCCAAATTAATGCCTCAACTAGTTTCTATTCATGAAATTTACTAAACTTACTGGTCATTGTAGTATCTTATAGACAGTCAGTGCTTGCAACTACGCTCTGATTTTTATAAGCCTCATGGACAATGAACACACACAGCCTTTGCTGTAGAACTCTTTGTGAGCACATCAACCCCACTCCCAGGAGGAGAGTAACAAATTGATGGCTATTGTCATGAAAAATGTGAAGCTATAGTATGACTGTTGACAATAACCATACCACTTTCATTATAAATGAAAGTTTGAAATAGTGTGCAAAAAAGCCAAAAAATATAGCACTACCACATAGTTTAGTAAAATTTTATTGCAAAAGGTTTTAGCCCTGATAATGGTCACGATTAAACTGACTTAGACATACTGATTTCTTTTTTATGTGTAATGAATATTATATATGACACTTTTATAGTGAGTATTTTATAACAGGACTTAACATTTTCAATTTTTGATAGCAGGATGTAAGAATTCCACTAATATGGCATTTTATGTAAAAGAACCAATATAATGCAGATTTAGCTATTTTAATTTTCTTGTATATCTTTTGTCAAAATATTTTCTATGCAACTGTGAAAGCTTCAATTCTCAAAATGGCAGAGTAGCTGTCTCTAGCAAAGGATTAAGTACAACTACAAAATGATTAGTTACAGGTCCTGCAGAATCTTATTGTAAATGACTCTCTTTACAATAAATGTTCTTCAGCTTTTATGTACTGTAGGAATTCTGTGGTTCCTTTTCTGTATGCTACTGCAGGGAAATACTAGTTTTAACCAAAGTCAAACTGATTTTATGAAAACATATGTTTATGTATACAACCTATATCCTTTCTTTTTTGCCTTATAAGATAATTTTCTTAGGTTCTTTGGCTCTGATTGGCTCTCCCATTTGGAAATTAATCTTTTCACATCTTGAGTTTCGAAAGTAACTTTTCATTCATAACCCTATAGCTGGAAAGATCCTTAATGATCATCTAGCCCAAGTCCCTCCTTCTCCAAAAGGAGAAGAAACTGAAGTCCAGAGAGAAAATTACATGACCATAGTGCCAATTAATAGCAAAGTTATGCCTTGTCCCTGGGACTGTTTCCCAATCCATGAAATGAGGGGCTTGAACTACAAGGATGTTCCTTGTGCTAGTACAGACATCAGTCTAGTAAACATATAATTCTTCTGAGTGTTTCTCAACCTTTTTTTCATTATCATTACCACCCAGGAACTTTTTTACATACTCCATACTCAGCTCTCCATATCTGTGGAGTTTGCATCCATTGATTCAGCCAACTGTGGATGCAGATCAAAAATATTCAGAAAAAAAGAATGGTCGTGTATTGAACACTTTTTCTTGTCATCATTCCCTAAACAATACAGTATAACAACTATTTATAGATCATTTACATTATATTCAGTATTATAAGTAATCTAGAGATGATTTTAAGCATATGCATAGGTTATATGCAAATATTAGGCCATTTTAAATTATAGACTTGAGCATCCATGGAGTTTGGTATCCAAGGAGAGTCCTGGAATCAATGTTCCATGGATACTTAGAAATGACTATATTTTTCACATACCTCTGATGAAATTTTAATACCAAAAGTATATTTATTATCTCTCTATACACTGTGACCACTTTGGAGGGTCACACTCCATTGCAATAATGAAGACTTTTTCACCCCACCCCACCCAAACAATTTTTGACCCCCAATTGAGGATGCATTCTATAAATGGATTAGACCAAAATGACTTGGGGTGACATATAACACAACTCTGGAAGGTATAGTGATATTAATTCTTAATAATATGTATGCATCTCTGTGACTCTGATTTTTCTCAGTACTTCAAACATTTCATCTACATGGTCTCTTATGTGCATTCTAGTCTTTATCAGCTCATGTCACAGTTTGTCAAAGGAACATCTATGTCCTTCCTTACCCCAATTTTGACAGAGAGCAAACTCCAGAGCATTTCTGCAGTGTCATGGAGTAGAGAACATTTATAGAAAACTTCTAGTCTTCAAGGTAGCAGCATTGCCACCCAGTGCCTTTCAAATCTCTTGCCGCCCATACAATGGTCATAGCCGGTCTTCCTGGCATCTCCAGTGGACCTGGCACCCAGTCTGCCTTGTCATTTTTGTCTGCAGGTGCAGGGTAAAATTTTTTCCCAGGGGCAATTCACACCACAGGAAGGTCAGCTGCAGACAATAGCTGAGCAATTTGGACCACAGGGGGAAAATGATAGACAGTAGGGAAGCAGCAGAGCTAAGTTTTCCCAATGTCAAACACCATCGGGAAGCTATGTCCTGGCTGGATATAATGCTATGATAGAGGACGCTATTTGCTAACTCAATGGGGATATACTGATACCTCTAATTGTTCTGGGATTTGGTCAAAGGTGAGAAGGCTGAATTTAGAGCCTTCTATAGGACAGTGGTTCTCAAATGGCTTCACTTGGGAATCACCTGGGGAGCTTTAATACTCATGCCTGGGTCTCTGTTCCAGAAATTCTAATTTCATTGGTCTGGGGTGTGGCCTGAGGATCAGGGTTATTTTAAAGCTTCCCAAATGACATGTCGTTGAGACCCACTGTTAGGAGGGTCAACTGAGTCAAACAAATCAACATTTCACAAATGCATAAATGTTGAATTTATTACTGGTCTAAGTGGCAAAAACTCTTGGAGACAGCTAGACAAAGTGCCTTGGGAAATCCAGATGACAGCATTTCCTTTCTCCACTCAGGGTCTCAGCCTGACTGTGGGGCTTGCTCTGGAAACATGTCACCAAATGCAGCAAGGAGCTGAAGTTTCCCACACTCAAGTTTCCAAAAGTCAAATTTTGAAGTCACTTAGCCAGCTCTCAACAACCCTCCCTCTCCCCACATCAGTTCTGGTTTACTGGACCTAATAGGAACTCCCATCATCAACAGGGAAGTTTCAAAAGTCATTTCAAATTCCCTTTAAGGACAATGACAATGGTATATGCCATTGAGCTCTTAAAGTTGAGGCAAGGGGAAGAATAGTGGGAAAATGAACAATGACAGGACAATACAGCTCAAAGAACTTTGGGAATTACAGTGTGCACTACCAGGCAGGTTTGGGCTGTTAAAGTACCTTCTTTGTTTTCTTTCAAAGAATAATATCTTAATGGGAGCCAAGCAAAGAGAGGACAGAAACCTACCAGTGCATCGGCTTTGTGCTTCAGCTTCTTAGCCTCTTGCATGTAATAATCAGCATTGTGAACCCTAAACAAACAAAACGAGCTCTTTCAGAAACCAGTGTTTTATCTTTTCATTAAAAGACTGAAGAAAGTAATTTTTTGTTACAAATCCATTTCTCTACAGGTCCTTGAAAAAGGCAGTCTAATGTTGTCATTCATATCATCACCAACCTTGAAATAATACTGTAATGAAATCTGAAGTGCATAATGGCCCATTAGGATAAATAACCACATCCTCCAACCCTAACCATTACAGTTGTCCAAACAGATCAAATGAAGCATAGCTACACCTAGTACACAGTTATATGTGAAGACATGGATAAGAAAGGACAAAACAACCTAGAAGTAAGCATCTGCCTTTGGAAACAGTAATAAAAGCTCCATGATAAAAATGGGCCAAAGGCATTTCTTGGTGGGGACAAAGGTGGGGTGGGGGGAAGGAGATACATTTAAGGCTGTAGAAGCTGATACCAAGGTCTTATTTGGGGTGATGCATGCATGGCACTAGAAAAGTGGTGCTGCCCCCACCCCCCATGCACTACTCCCAATCTGTGTCCATGATAATCTGGGGACAACATACGAGTCATCAAAAGTGAGCTTGGGTCTCCGAACATTAGGGCTGCTGCTGGACAGAAGGGGCAGAGCTGCCCAGGACGTCATCTCCAGGTGACTGCTATCCATGAGGCCAGTAGTGATGGTAGAGGTGATGGTGGAAATGGTAGTGGTAGTGGTTGTGGTGGTGGCCGTGGCAGTGGCGGTAGCTGTGACAGTAGCTGTGACAATGGCAGTAGCAGTGACAGTGGCAATAGCAGTGTTGGTGATGGTGACGGTGGCAGAGGGTGCCTTTTTTGGAGTGTCTGCCTCCTGGGAAAAAGGAGGATAAATAGCTTCCATTAGGTCCAGATTTTTAGAATTATCTCTTCACAACTGCTTTGAATGTCAAGCACATTAGGAAAGAAGGCAAGAGAAAAATAAACAATGCACACGGTTTGAGAATAAATAGGTGACCCTGGTATATTTCATGAACACCGTGAATCAACAGATTTTGTTGTATGATAACATGAAACCCCAAGCTAATCAGGAGCTGGGATTACATAGCAGCACCATCCCATTAAGAAAGCCATGGCAAAGGTCTAAATCCAGTAGGAAATTTGAGAGGAGAGGGGAAGAAAAATATAGAGAAGAGGAGAGAGGAGAAGAGAGAGAGAAGTGGGGAGAGGGAGGGAGGGACAGAAGGAAGGGGGAGGAAGAGAAATAGGGAGGAGGAAAAAGAGAGGGATACTGAGATTGAATAAAGTCCTTGACCCTGATGTGGATATCTTTGATGAGGAAACCAGCCCAAAAGCTTTCTTTAGGGTAAGTAAAAATCTTCAGATCACTCTGCAAAATACTGGACACAGTTCCACAAATACCAAGAAATTATACTGCAATTAATAATGCCCCAGCTGAACTGAAGCTGAAGCACCCCTTTTGTTCAGGTGAGGCACTTGACTGGCTCTGGCTAAGTGAATGTTATGAGTCTTGGGATGGTGAAGTCCCATTTCAACCAGCCCCAAATAAAATGAGTAAGAGACTTATGAGGGCTTCACTTTGAACTGTCATTGTTGTAGAGAGGATGGAGAAAGGAGGGGGTAATATTTGTAATTATGCGTTGGTGTGGTATCACAGGACCATCTGCCATGTTCACATGGCTGATTCTGCACTCCCCACCTGGACACCGTGGGACCCTCCTGACTGTTCTTCCTCTGATCTACTTCCTAGGGGACCTCCTCCTCTTCCTTCTGCTCTTCTAAGTTGGTATCTCCGTGAAGTTGATATGCCCCAAAGTTTACTCCTCAGAAATCTTCTTTATTAATCAGATTTGTCAATCTTGTATGTGCTGGCACAGATTTAACATAAGCAGATAACTCCCAAATGGAGACCTCAATCTTACTCTCTCTCCAAAGTTCAAGACCTGCAGTTACTACCTCTGGACAGTTCCATAAACATGGCATCTCAAATTTCTCTCAAATCAAAGTGATAACTGAACCAGTTCCCTCTTTCAGGGAACTGTTAATGGCAGGATGGTCTGACTCAAAGGCCTGTCTCTATCCCTGCCCCAAGACAACAATCAGCAGCTATTTTATATTCTAGTTTTTTGAGTACATGTCTCATTGTTCACCTTAGACTGAGAGCACTGGACTGTGGGGAGGGGGGATACTATCATAAATCAGTATTCTCAGTGTTTGCAGAATGGATGCATGCATGTATATGTGCATGCCTGCCTGGGCCAAAAGGATCATTTTTAAGAAAAAAGTCAAATGTGATATACTTTGTACATCCATGTGGATCTTTTCCACTTGATTCTGGACCTTCTAATTATCAAACAATTCTTACCAGCTAGTGATCACTGAGATAAATGTGCTAAGAAGCTACACATCTACAAATTGTTATGATGGATGTAGAGAAAATAAATATCATCATGGATTTTATTCAATCCAAATATGTAAAAGAATCAGAGCTGTAAGAAACTCCTAAGCCAGCTCCATGTTTCCACTGCCAGAGCCAGATTGGCCAAACAGTGGGGTCAGGCCAAGAGTGTGCCACTTGTCTCTATGGCCAAGATATGTGGCAAGAACCCTGAAACATTATATCTACCCCACACAGCATTGATGTCAGTCCCAGCACATATGACTGGATATGGCTGAATTCAGCCATGATCATGTAAGTTTTATAAACATGGCATTTGTCCATACTCACCAACCCATTGAGTCAATAAACAGGACTTCATGCCTAAATGGAATAGAAAAGATTCTGAGAGCACAAAATTGCAAACACTTTTGGAGCTGGAAGAAGCCTTATAGATCATCTAGTCCAATCCACTCATTTTATGATCTCAGAGATGTTTCATGATTTTTCCAGGGTCATGAAGCAATTTTTTTGCAGTGGTAGCACTATACAAGTTAAGAATCAAGCCTCTTAATTCTCAGGCTAAGGCAAAAATTATCCCACAAAGTCTTCCAGATTTCAAATCATTAACAGAAAGAAGAAATGGCCCAAGAAGAGGCACCAGTTGCTCACTACTATCTTAGGGAACCCCAGTGATTTCCTTAAAAGAATAATGCATTTCTAGGAGCAAATGTTATCATATTTATCATGTTTCCCCAGTAGTTCTTACCTCTTATGGAAATGACTTTGTAGATTCTTGTAAGCATTAGCATTGTCATAATAACATCTGTATTATTTATAACACCTAATTATTTGTGACAATATACTAGGCACTATATAAAGAGAATTCCCTGTATATGGTGCATGCCTTCCAAAAACTTGCAATAGAAGAGAGTATCAGTAGTTTATAATACTAATTACATTCAGTATGAAAAATAGGATGGATAGTGTAATTACTGCTTGAATAGTTGGTTTAATTCCCAACATTATAGATCAGTATGTTTAAATGTGTATGCAAATATTATATGTATGCACATATATGAATTTCATATAAAAATGACAACTTCATACTAGTGTACTTTTTATATTAGCAATAAAATTCACCTACATATGTATGTCATCTCAATTATCTCTGAGGATGGAGGACTATTAATTCAGATCTTTAAAGCTCAGAAGACTCATGGTCTTTCATGGAGTATTAAATGAGCACTTTTGCTTCAGGGCCCAAGAAATTGTCAACAAACGTGGAAACTTATTGATTTTCACTCATTGCTTTTAATATTACATTTAAAGGGGACTAGATGCATATGGATGTTATATCTACATATATGGAAAGGAAGACACATTTGTCATTAATATTCATTACCAACACTGTTGCTGATGGTTTCCAGAGTTCATGTACCTATACCTGAGACAAATTAAAAGATACTGTGTTTTATACAAATGATGCAAGTGATACAAATTTCCCATTATCTATGCTAACTGAGCAGCAGTGCAGAAAATCCAAAGGACTGGATCATCCTTTAATTGGGCTTAGAACCATTATTGTTCAATCTTAGCAACAGATTCACCTTTTAAATTCCATTCCATTTAGTCACTATTTAAAAAAAAATCACACTTGTAAAGCTGGGTAGTGGAAAGATGCAACTTGAAGTTCCATCCCTAGTTTATTGACCTTGGGCATCCCATTTCATCCATTTTTCTTTCATTCACTAAATGATCGGTGCCTACCATTTGCCAGATGCTGTGGTCAGTATTATGGAAGTGTCTCCCCCCACCCCCAAGATATGAAGAGATTGGACCAAAAGATGTCCAAGACCCTGAGTATCTGCATATGCTATTCATCTGGGGAAGCAAAACAGAAAATTAATACAGAATGAAAAATTCATCCTGAGTTGGAATAACTGAGATTTGAAATAATGCAAAGTTTGTGTATTTGTACACACACACACAAACACACACACACACACACACCTATATTTCCTCTCTGCTTCTTCCTATCTTCCCCCTGCAACGTCTCTATCTGGTCAAGTCAAATTTGATGAGCTGTGTTAATTTGTTTCTACCTGACAATTATAATATTTCTTCCAAGATGCTTACATTTACAGATATCCCTTTGAAAGTAGCACAGAATTTGCCTTCACTTCTCTTAGGTTTGGTAGAGGTGATCTGTCCAGTCATGGAGACGTTTTTGTCTTGACTGAAGGGACCATTATTGCCATTGACATTTCTACGGCGTGGAGGGTCCTCTGGCAGTGGGGAAAGTGGAGGAGGGAAGAGCTTTTCTTCCTTTCTTCTATTTGCTCTCCTGGATAAATTATTTCTGTGGAAACAAGAAGTGTATGGTGTCACAAAATCTTATCTCTATTTTGATTTCCCCCCATTACACTGGTACTTTCAGCTAAAGCTATATTTTTATTGATGACCCTTATTTTTGGTGAAGAGTATGTATAAAATGCATACAGACATTGATATTTGTATATTTATAGGTATCTTTCTCTATATATAGATAGATGTATACATATGTATCCAAGAATAAACACATATCTTTGAAGCAGAACTCCATGACAAATCTAAATGTCTAATAGAATGTGCTATAATGTGATATTTGCAACCTCTCAAGATAACTGTTAATTAGATTTTTATGGAAAATACAATACAGACTTTAATCCCATCATTTTCAGGATTGTTCCTACTTATTTTGCCCCAGGACTTTAACTGCACAATCATGCAATAAATGATATAATAATCAGTGGAAGAATATTTTCTTAAGAAATATTATGTTTAGAACAGGCATCCTCAAACTACAGCCTGTGGGCCACATGCAGGCTGCCTAGCACATTTATCCATCCCTCCAGGTGTTTTTGCCACTGCGGCCTGTCCTGCTTAGCAGCCAACTCGTCCCGGGCCCACAGTGCACACTCTCCAACGGTCTGAAGGACAGTGAACTGGCCACCTGTTTTAAAAGTGTGAGGACCCCTGACTTAGAAACAATAATACACTAAATACTACTGTGATGCATTGCAAATTGTATGTACAAAATGTTCTACCCCAACACCAAGGCATAATGAGCCCCTGACCTTAAATTGTTATGCCGAAGTACTGATGTACTTCGCTTTACAAAACTCCATTTAAAAAATATTTTTGGTCATATTGACACAAGACATCTGCAATCCTGAAAGTATTCCCATGCTTTCAAACTGATTTATCTGTCCATTAAATGGGCACCAACAAATAGACTGAGACTTCAAATAAAACAGAACAAGTAAAACCTTATGCTAGCTGCTTAACATGGTAATTCAGTCATGGATTTTCATTTTAGTTACTGTCTTAGACTAATCAATGAAGATTACTTGAATTTTAATCTTTTCTTAGACAACTAATATTGCACTGTGCAGCCATTTACTTTTCATGATTATTGACTACAATTTTCAATAGCAAATTAAATCAACAAGAATTTGTGTTTTCTTCTTGGTCAATTTCAGTCGGTGTCTAGAAATATAGATTTACAATATCTCAAAGCAACAAATCAAAGATGAACAAGGATTCAAGTGGTCTGATTTCCTGAAATGGTAGAAGTCAATGCAGTCTTGTTGTCCCACTTCTACCATGTTGCCCAAATTTGCCAACTGTAATAACATGTGTCATATTTTCTGTCTTTTGTTTCATAACTGTGGCTCATGCCAATTTTTGTCATGTAGTAAATTTTTTAAAAAAATATTTACTGTTGCTGCCATTAGCTTAATTGATTAAAATCAATTTTAAAATACTCATCAGTAGATTTTTAAAATTGCTTTGACATGTATAACTATTTTAAGACAGTTGTGACGCCTGAATAAAATGATGGTGAACATATGAATTAAGTTTCTTGTCCATGAGGAAGCTCCACAAACATTAGACCACATTAAATATAATAATTACAGAAGCACTAGATGATTGGGATTTTACATATACAGATATCAAGCATTGCTGTAGCATCTACAGGATGGTTTGTTAGTTGTAAATACTGTCCCTCTGCTTAGCTGGCTAAGAAGGCAGTGGGGGCTGCAAGGGGCAGATTTGTTTTTGAGAGGCATCTGATTTGCTATTGGCTACTAGAGTCACACAAAGTCTTCCCATCTGCCACTGAACTCACCAGAAGAGACTCAGGGAATTCTGTACAGGGAACAATAGTGACCTGGCCCTCTTTCCATCTGCCTGGTAGTAACCTAGAACCATGGTACCTTTAATGATTTCCTCAGTGAAATACACCCAAGGAGCATCTTCTAGAGACCACTCCATCACTGTTATGGTTTCCAACTACAAAAACAGCTTTTGCTTCTTTGGGTACTTCTTTCACTAGGCCAGAGGAGGATAGGAGACAAGAGAAGAGTTTCCCCATCCCCATTCCATCACCAGAGGTCCTGCAGATGGTTCAAGCTCCAAATAAAGGGGGGGGAGTCTCAGCAGGGTTATTTTGCTGAAGGATGGGAAACCCTAGCTGTCATAGTCTTCTGTGGAATCTTTGCTAGGTTTAGAATTTTCATTCAGAAAAGTGTTGTCTCATAGAAATTTCCAAGGATTTGGTTTGAAAGGTGAGTAAGACATAAAGCAGACAGAGCTTGAGGAGAGGTTTCTCAGGAAAAGAGCCCTAAGAGGACAGTCCTTACTTCATTATTCTACTTCGGGGATTTTTCCAGAGACTTGAATCTATTTGATAAGCACAAGAACCTGATCGAGGCCCTTCCTGAGTGATAAATGCTATAAGGGAAACACTTCTTTCCCATGTACTAGAAAGGCAGAAACACTATAAGGACTGTGGCTTAAGGACACCATTTGATAATGACCAATTCAAATTACTAAACCTTTACTTAATACTTGGTCATCTCTCTTCCATAAGATGAGGAAAATAACAAGCCACTGGGTCACTTAGGGAGACCAGCAGAGGGAACTGATTGGTGTGGCAACATCCCACTATCCCCTATTTCTTCTTTTTGCCTTCAGGTGATTTGAATTGGTCAAAGCCGGAGAAATGAGGGCACATTGCCACCATAGCTATGCCACTTTAGTCCTTTTTTCTTGGAAAGAAGGAGGGTCCTGGAATGATCACGTGGGCCCATTAGGGTAGCATGCTTCCTCACATGTCTGGTCCAACCTCAGGTGAAGGATGTCAGGTTGCTCTATTGTAAGAGTCTCTAGTTCTGAGAACTCCAAATATGTGAAGGGGTGTTTCACAGGACAGTTATGTCAGCAAATACAGACAGGCCTCACAAGTAGCTACCAATCCTCAGGGAGCGGGGCAGCCCAGGGCTCAAATCTCCTTGTTACATAGAGCAGATCTAGTAGTAATCAGTCTTTTCACACCTTTCATCTCAAGACAACAAAGATCCAGATAAATGTAAACTGATAACTTATTTCCAATATCTTATCTGTGGCAGATTGATGCCTTATCACTGATGTTAAACAGTAATCTGTGAAATCAATTGTTAGCAGCAGTTAGCCAGATTGCCTCTCTGCTATGGGCTGATAATAGGCTCCAAAATTGGTCTTTGATGGAAATAATCTCTAATGTTGAATGAATTTATGGCAATAATTACTCAGACAGGATGGTCGAGTCACTGACATGATTGTTAGTTAAGTGATATTTATAAGAGTGAAGGAACTCGGTAACAATGCTTGGTAGAAACAGAGGGCAGGACTTCTCTGGGGAAGGCTGATGCTATTTGAGTGAAAAGGGGACAAGGAAGCCTCCTGCCCAACTCTGGAACCTTCCACACATAGAAGGGAGAAGAGATACCAGCCAGATGGAATCAAAGTATCCCTCCCTAGCTGGCTTTCCCTGACATAGAACTATCCCAGGGGGAGGACAACTTCCAGACAGATTATCTCTCTGTCCTTCCCAAACATGTCATTCCCCTGGCCTCTGTGGAATTCAGGATGTAGCCACTGGTCTTTAATGTTAAGTACTGACAGCAAAGAGGAAGTAGCTGTGTCATCCTGTCAAGATCAAGGGGTTGCTTTCACAGGGAAATTGGTTAGTCATCATCAGAACTGAACTCTGACCAGAAGCAGGTGATCTGCTTAAAGTGATAGGGGTTCTCTTGATGCTTACTCTTTAATTTATTTACTTCCTTTTGCCCTTCTCTTAGTGCTAAAAGTTCATCTCCACTGATTTCAGTGATCAATCTGAGTTGGACTAAAGAAATCTTGCTAAAAGCTCATGGAGTCACCCCAAATCTGGCAGTTTGTGTTCTACTCTTTATCACACCCTTATTAGGCTAGGGACTGAGGACAACTGTCAGGCCTGGACTGAGAGACTCTTGTTTTCTTATCTTATATTCCTCTGGGGCAGGATCCCCCAAATGGGTTCAGTTGGAATTTCTTAAGATCCTGAACAATCATACGGAGGCAGGGCAAACTCACTCTCTAGTGTTGGGAGGCTTGTGGGGTGGGGCTGGTGAAATGCATGGAGGGAGCAAGCAGATAGTGGTGGCCTCCTCCAGCCGCTGCTTCTTCTCAGGGATCTTCTCTGCAATGTCTGTTGGCTTTAACATGGGAAAAAAACAACAACACAGAGCTTGAAATACATGGCACATTCAGACAACCATAGTTTTCACATTAAAAGTAATCAAGATATACACTTTCCTTCTATTTTAACTTCTAGATTAGGTATAAGAGTTAAATGTGCAACTTTCATCAGACAAAAAGGCAATCAGTCTTGCCTAGTTTAGTCCTACAAAGAAGGTGGCATTTGAGAAAGCTGAACTGTGATGTGAACTTCTGATTGAAGATTGGGTGGCACAGGAATCTCATAACAAAAGTAAAGAGAATCTATAATTTTCGGACACTTCTCCCATCAACAATGCCCCCACAAATGAGTAGCTTAAAAACTCACATTGCAACTCTAACATAAATCCTGTCCAAGCAGCATGGGGATTGTGGGTGACATATAAAGTTCTCTTATACAATCAACACCATGCAAGGAGATGAATCATGTGCAAGGCACACCTTTGACCCTCACATGCACTGGTCTTAAAGGTACATTTTACCCCTGGTTGTACTGCTGTCATCACTAAGAGTGGGAAGTCAGTGGTAGGGCAAGGATCCCAGACTTCTTGGTCTCTATTTTGGAATACAGGATGACTATCTCTTATCCCAAATGCTGGGGATTGGAAGTGTTTCAGATTTCAATTTTTTTCTGATTTGGGATATTCGGGTTATACACTGCTTGAGCATTCCCAATTTCAAAATCCAAAATCTCAAATGGTCCAGTGAGCATTTCCTTTGAGCATCATGTTGGTGTCCAAAAAGTTTCAGATTTTGGAGCACTTTGAATTTCAGATTTTTAGAGTTGGGATGCTCAATCTGTATTCTCATTGGATATATTGATGCACAACTCAGAGCGAATAATCTCTGATTTTTAACTTGTAAAGTAAAACTGGATGAAGATTTAAATCATTTTTGCAGTATCCTATTCAGTAGATTGTCCTGGGTACAGCTGGGGTTGCTCGTCAATGAGGAATCAGAGCCAGTTCTGGCCATACCTAAGTCTTTCCTGGAAAGGGACAGAATAAATGGGGAAAGGACTAGGCACTTCCCCTCTAGCCACTATAACAGCCTTGGAAATAAGGTTTCTCAAATATCACTATGAGATAATTTTATTCTAAAAAGCTACCCTGAGATCTGGAGATACAATGGAATTAGCTTATTGGATACAAACTCATCTCTCATCTCTTTACATATATTTTAAATGGAAAGGGCCATTCCGGATTTCACCTTCTGATTAGACTTTGTAGTCCTGGAATGTAGCCTTAACCTCCACTTAACCTACTGCAGCTGAGATTTTGACAGGTCAAACCTACTACATAGGTCAGTGATCCCAGAAGGCTGGGTAGAACACATGTATGGTAGGAGCCAAGGAGACTCAAAGTATAATTGGGCTGTAGGGATGCTACTATTTGCCCAGATAAATGAACAAGCCCCAGAGGATGCATTTGGACACTGGGAGCACTTGGGTGCCCTGCTGATGCTGGCATGTGGGACTTCACAGCAATGATACATGAGTTTATGAAAATTGAAGCAACTTAAAGAGCTGACTCCAGGGATTGGCTGCCTGGGGAAGGGGACTCTCTTCATATTCTTCTTTCCTACACATCACAATCTCTGATGTGCCATGCTGAACCCTCTTTCCACTGGCTGAATAACCCTGATCACTCCTAGGGCTTTATCCCTGTTCATGTCAAATATTGCATTTCCCATGGAAAGCATCATTGCCTTCACCAAAGTCTGCAATCTACTGCCATTGGCCTCCTTGAAAATAAGACTCAAGATCAAGTTAGCCACTGCTCACAATCACTTGGCAGGCCAGTTTGGACAGCTTACCTTGTGCTTACGTTTGCCCTTAGCGGCCGGTTTTTCCACCACTGCAGTAGCAGTCTGACGCTTGGGTTTTGTGGCAGTCTCCTTGTGGTCTGGCTTGGCAGGTGCTGCTTGGAGTGAGTTGTGGCCAGGTACTCTAGAGAGTAAGTCAAGGTTGATCTTCACCCACAGGTTTTTAAGATTCTCATGATCTCGTAGAGGGGACAGAAGCTCAGTTTGCATGACAGGAATGGGTGAAAAAGTTGGCTCCTCGTTATTGATGGATAAGTTGTTGTTGCCGTTGCTGCTGATTAAGGTGCTGAGGGTCAGGCTGGTACCACAGGTTTCTTTGGATTTGGCAGTATTACTTCCAGGAACAATGCAAGGAGGCAGAACTTTGATCTGCAGGGTCTCTTCTTGATCTGTGTTGGAGTCAGATGTAGATGAATCTGTTTCAATGAATTCCCGGGACTTTGGCACAACCTTGCCAGGTCCTCTGTATTTCTTCTTCTCGGCAGCCAAGGGGATGTTAGGCCTTGGTTCTTTCCTAGGAACTGGTTTGTGGGCAGTGGATTTGTTGCGGCCTCTTGGTGGGTCAGGAAGCTCCACACTTTCTGTTTCTTTGGGAGTGCTGCTGGTAATATTTGGTTTGGGCCAGGTAAACTCATCAATGCTGGTGTTCTTTTCAACCTTTTTGGGCTGTTTTTTCCCGATTGTCCTTTGAGAAGCTGTATCAATAGTTGCTGAAAACTTATGCCTCAAAGCCTTTGTTTCTGGAGTTTTCTGGGTGGGCCGAGGCCGGGCCTTTTCCCTAACGAGACTGAGGAGAGGCCTTTCTTTGGGTTCGGCCAGGATCTGGCTGGGGTTTGTCTTCACTTTGATCTGGACTTCCATTGGTTGGATGATAGGAGGAGGGAGAGAAATTGTCTCCATGGGTGTTTCATTTTGGCCACAAATAAATGACTTGTTCTGAGATGTCACTTTGTTAAGCCATTTATCCAGCTGCCACTTGTTGGTTGAGGGGGGCTCAGGCTACAGATTGAGAAACAGCAGCAATAATGAATTTCACACTTGGGAAGAATTCAGGAGAACTCTCAGTACAGTGACTGCTTGCTAATAAAAGCTTTGGATGTTAAGTGACTGTTCACACACACACACACACACACACACACACACACACATTCATATGCACTCATGCATGTATGCACACACTATCCACAATGATCGAATTACCTAGCTAGCTAGATACAGTCCAGCTATGGTCTACTTATTTAAATGAATTTACACTTCTTCTCTGAAAATATTCTTCACTCTGGCCAGGAAGAAAAGAATTATTCATAGAGAGATGTTAAAGAGGGTAGGCGGGGGTACTTGGGAGGAAAACCTCTTCCTAAATCCTTTGGCAGGAATCATCACTCAACCTCTCACCAAGAGGCAGAGGTAAAATAGTCTCTGATCCTGAAAAGGAATGTAAGTGTGCCTCAAGTGTAACTCAAAATGAAAGGCTTTCCATCTGCCCAAATGCCAGTGCCTCCTACATGATGCTGTCATTCACTGCAAACAGAGCAGGTCTTTTGTATTTTTTACCAAAGTATAAAAAGATTTACCTTTCAAAAAAAAAAAAAAAAAAAGGAAAGAGAAAACCACTGCACTTTCCTTGGTATATGAGCAATAACCAATTTATGGGAACATGCATGCAGACACTAGTGTCCACTGTTAAGCCATGGGAATGATGCATACCATTCAGAGTTGATTCCCAACTATGAATTCTGCCAGTTGAACTAAAAAAGGCATCATTTTTGTAGAAGAGCTCTTCTTTTAAAAGCCATCAGCTGAGGCTTATGGCACCAGACAGAATTAAAAACACTTGAGTAGCTGTGATTTCAACCTGTGCAGCACAATGTCAGGTAAGAGTTGAAGAAATTGTATCAGCTGCCACTGTAGGCAGCATAGCTCTGGGGTTGAGAACATCATCTATGGCAATACTGGGACCTGGGTTTCAGTCTTGACTGTACCAACTGTCTATTTGGCAAATCTTGGGGAAGTTCTTTTCTAACTTCTCAGAACCTTCTTCTCTCATCTATAAAATAAAGATAATAATAGCAAGTACCCTAGAGGGTTGTTAATGAGAATGAAAGGCAAAAATGAAAATCAAGAACATAGCATAGTGCCTGGTACATGGTCCATGTTCTGTAAGGGTTTGCTATTATTAATAGCAATAATATTACCACTGGCTCCTTCTATTTTCCTTTTCTGGTTTTGGAAAAACAAGTGTATGAAGAACCTTGGGGGAGGGATTTGCTCACTGTACCAGGTGCAGGCTCAGGGGGGACTGAACAGCTATCTTGGACTCAGAGAAGATGGAAAGCAAATTCCACTATTTCAAAATAATTACTATTTTATGGGGCTGTGTTAAATGTTTTCATGAGTTATTATCAAATGCACTTGAAGGATACAAATTGAAATAAAAAACGTGACGTTTCAACCATCATTTTACCTTTAAGGAAAGCCATACTTTTTGGGTCTTATTTGCCAAATGGCAATTCATACTTTAATTACCTTAGAGTAAATGTTGGCATCCCCATGGCCAGAAGTGGCTCCTGACTGGCTACACTGGTTGTCTCAAAAGATAAACTGCTAGACCAGTCATTACTATTCTAGTTTTTCATGTGAGGGAGCTTGAGGCTCAGAGTAGCTAAGTGAGTCAGTCATATGGCAAGAAACATACAAATATTAGGGACTGTCCAGATAGATGTTTTAAGGAAAAAATTCTAGAAAATAAATACCTGGAGACTTTTCTGAAGTAGTTATTGTGCTAAAGTAATTTAGCACAATTGTGCTGAAAATGTGTGCTCACGTGTGTGTGTGTGTCTGTGTGTGTGTGTGTGTGTGTGTGTGTGTGTTTCCAGAAGGACAGGCAGATTGTATGTACTTGGGGCCCTGGCACCCTCACCCACCTCTGGAGTGGCCACACGAGGTGCCCCATTGGATTCGCTGTCAGTGGTGCTGCTTTCAGTGTCTGAGTCCGACTCTGAGCTGCTCTCTGACTCGCTGGAGCTGCCAGATCCCCCACTGGCTTGCCCTGCAGGTGGGGGCCGGGGTGTGGCCAACAGTGGGCTGAAAGAAAAATGGAATTGTTCATTGCCTCATTCAGTCTCAAACCAGATGGAAAATAGCCCAGTTCAGTATAAGGGCCTATAATCTGTGAGCTAAAGGCAAAGTAGCATGTATGAGCCACATTTTACAGATGGAAAACCTGAGGCACATTTTACAGATGAAAAACCTGAGGACCCCCTCAAGGTCAAAGGTTTGAGGAGAGGCCAGATCTGCATATCCAAGTTCCTTGGGTTTCCATCACATTGCCTTGACTCCCAGAAAAGCCTTGCTGCCCTCACTCCACATGAAAACTTTTTTTATTTAAGACAGAATCTCAATCTGTTGCCCAGGCTAGAGTGTCATGGCATCAGCCTACCTCACAGCAACCTCCAAATCCTGGGCTTAAGCAATCCCCCTGCCTCAGCCTCCCAAGTAGCTGGGACTATAGGCACGTGCCACCATGCCCAGCTAAGTTTTTTTCTATTTTTAGTTGTTTGGCCAATTTCTTTCTATTTATAGTAGAGACAGGGTCTCACTCTTGCTCAGGCTGGTCTTGAACTCCTGAGCTCAAGCAATCCTCCTGCCTCAGCCTCCCAGAGTGCTAGGATTACAGGCATGAGCCACCATGCCCGGCCCACATGAAAACTTTAAGCCAAGGTTACATACCTTCTGGATGCCTTAGATATTTAACTGTCCCTCTTTATTCAGTTAAGATAGTTTTTCATTTTCTGTTGCCATTTTTTTCAATACCCCACAGTTTGTTGGGGGGCTCTGATCTTAGCTAAACACACGGTATAGTCCTATCACCAAGAATGGGTGAGTTCAACCAGTATTTTAATTCAGGGGTCCTGAAACTTTTTAAATAGGGGGCCAGTTCACTGTCCCTCAAACCATTGGAGGGTCATTGGAGAGTGAGGCGCACATTCCACACATGTGCACCGTGGCCCAGGGACTGAGTCGGCTGCTAAGCAGGAAAGGCAGCGGCGGCAAAAACACCCGGCAGGCAGGATAAATGTCCTCGGTGGCTGCATGTGGCCCACGGGCCATAGTTTGAGGATGCCTGTTTTAATTGGAGGAAACTGATGCCTGAAAAGGGAGCACACTTTGCCTCTGCCTCACAGCTAGCTGGAGAGCTGAGACTAGCAGTGAGCACTGTGGCCACCGAGCAACCTCAAAGGGAAGTGAATGTGCTGAGCCTGGTCACTGCTGATGGCCTGGTGCTCAGCACCAGAGTGACTATGGTTGGTCCTCAGTTGCTGTCTGTTGAAAGTATGAATAAGGTAATGAAAAGATGCACTCCTTGGCCTCCTACACCATTTTTGTAAACTCTTTGTAAAACTCTTACCAGGAAGTATGATCATAAGTGACAAAACAGCTGTCATGATTGATTTCACATTTGTGAAGCTGACCAAGCAAAGCATTTGGAAAGTGATACCATTTGCTACTTTACCTTTATTGATAATGCATATTCCTCCATACTGATCATTTGCTCCCTGTGCCCCATCACAAATTAACCTCAGCTGCCTCTTGGCACACTAGGGTATGTCATTGCCTTTCTGTCCTTTTGTTCATTGTCTCTTTAGTCTGAGTTTTGCACTGTGTGTTTCTGTGTGTTTCCTCAGGGGTGGGGGGAGAGGCAGAGACCTAGAACTCAGGGCTCTTATTTCCCTGCAATCCTTTGCAGAGCTCTCTTTAGTGTCAGTAATGACTCCATATTTATGGAAAGTACCCTTTAAATCTAATCAATTGTTTTTGTCTTTGTTACTAAATAAAGATTGAGAGAATATAAATGTAAGGGAGACTAATCAGAGATTAGGCTAACTTGGCCTCAATTCTCCCCAAGTAAACTTTCAAATATAACACAGAGCATCTGCAACGCTGAGAACACTGGGTAGTATATTGAGGGATAAAATCTAATTTGTATCCACATTTATGATTTTCAATTGAAAAGTCTGCATCCTAGTATTCTTTCACATCTATGCATCAATTTCTGGCTTCTCATAGGAAACTGGTCATCCTGATATTATCAAACTAAACTAGACTAGATTTATTTTGGAATTTTTCTGGATAGAGTTCTATTTACTGGATTATTTTTGAGCAATTTCTGTAAAAAAGACCAAAACAATATCAGGGATAATTCCTTCAAAACCAAATGTATTGAGATGATATACCTGAAGTATAGATGTTTTATTCACCAAAATCTACTTATTCCTCAGATAAATCAAAGTTTTGCAAGTTTAGTAGGAAACTTGGTGTGTGTGTGTGTGTGTGTGTGTGTTTGTGTTTTGTCTATGTGTTCCTTATCCCAACCCCTTCTGGTGACAGATGTATTTTGGTATTCAGATCTTAACAAAATTTTAAATATAATATACTCAATGTATCTCATATATAATACTCCCAGTGGTATATGGAGAAGCACTCCTATAGTTTTATGGATAAAAACCCTCTATAAAAATTGACTATATTTATATTTATAAGTAGATATAGACATTAAATAAAAACTATTTCAAATATAAGGGCAACCTTGACTGACACCCAATGAAATGAGGCCTGAAATTATGCCGCCTAAGAATTCTTATAGCTAAATCTGTTGCTGTGTTCTCAGACAGGATGCCATGGATAGTCAACATTGACAATGACCACATAGGGGAAATTAATATAAAAAGAAGAAGTACCTCAGCTTTTCATACTCATACACAGATATTTGAGAATGACAGGGAAGGTGGACTTTAATTCAGGGAAAACAACAGGAGAACTCAAACTGAGGGTGAAGGACCTTAATGTCTTAATGGGAAAGAATTGCCTTCTTGGGGCAATTGTGCAGTTGGAAACAGGGAGAGCAAATATTTATGGAAGGGAATAACTGTTTGCTCTCCCCAGCACCTTCCTGTGCTTCTACACTCCATGTGCTGCTTGTGGGCTTGCTGGAGACTGGCTGCACCCAGTCTGCTAAGGAATGTAGGCTACACATCTGAGTCTGGGCATCACTTCCTGTGGGCCCACCTTGCCCCCAGCCAGGATTGCTCTCAGGACAAAAAGTGAACACAAAACCAAAACATTGTCTTCACAAGCAGGACAAACATCAGTATCAGAATAATTGGCCCAGGGCCATGGTCTTGTCTAGAATCCACCATAGAACTTTCAAGTTGGCAAAACATAACAATATTTCACTTTTGGTTCTTCACTGAAATCCCTTAGCTGTTCAGCTAGTTAATTTCCTACTCTGCTACATTTATTTCCATACACTGCTAATTTATTCTCCAAATGTATATTAAAGTGGCTATGAGTGAAGTTAGTCTATGCAATTTTTGATTTTGCCTAAGAGATGAAAAGCTAATGTACAATTTACATATTCTTCATTCACCAAGACTGTACTGAAATTATTTCCTGCACATCATTTGCTCTCTTATTTCAATAAATAAATAAAAATTAAAAAATAAAACTGCTTTTAAAAAGAATGCTAGTGGTTAAAACAAAGAGAATGTCTGATACTAAAAATAAATAACATTTAATATATTAAACCATCTACTCCACAGTCTGCAAATATTAAAGGCCTACTCTATGACTTCATCCCTAATGTAATAAAACTTCTCAAAGGACCCATATTTGTAACAACTGCAAAGTCAACTCTAGAACCCTTTCAAAGATCAGATTTTGCTATTGTATTCATCAGAGTGAGCATCTTTACTGAGTGGAGTGAAGCCTCATTTTAATTCCAAACCCATTCATTAGGTCTTCATGGTTACAGACCAGACTGAGGGCAAAGAAGTTGGCTTAGCAAGTCAATGACCCTAGTGGAGGAATCCCAGACTGGGAATGGGGATCAAAAAGGAGATGAATGGGAAAGAAGTTTGGGAGGCATTTAAGATGCTTCTCCAGACAGGGTTGGCCCTAGTGTAGAAGGCACATGACAGTCTCACTGTGCTTATGTTGTCCAGGCCTCTTCTGCAATACAGGGATCAATTTGTGACACTATAATTGAGTAGATACAAGAAAGAAGAGTCTAAAAGCCATATTGAAAACACTGGAACTATTTTGCCTGAAGAAGACTCTGGAGCTAGGAGGGGGTGGTTCATATAATGATAGTTTTCAAACAAACTCAAGGTCTGTCCTGGGGTGAAGGGAGTGGGCTTATTCTGGGGGCCTTCCAAGATAAATATAGGACCAATGAGTTAGAGATCTAGTGAGGAAGACTTCACCTCAACATTAGGAAAAACATTTAGAAACCTCCAGCTGGCTACAGAAAGAATGTACTAGCTTGCAGGCCAGTGAACCCTGCACCCTTAGGTGACCAGATAGCCCGCCAGCTATAAAGAATGTGGTAGAAGGATTCCTACTGTGGGTCTATAGTGGGGTAAGATGATTTTTAGGGTGTCTTCCAACTCAGAGGTCATAATCTTTATGAACCTAAAGTGTATAAGGGTTTTTAAAGAGGCTGTTTATGGACCTTAAGATAAAACGTGTGAGGAGACTTTTGTGCAATCCAATCTGCTCCTTAAGGCAGGTCTGGAATGTCCTGCTCTTGACAATACTTAAAACTGCATTTCTGTAGGGCTGTTTTTATTTATCTATCTATCTATCTATCTATCTATCTATCTATTTATTTAGAGACAGCATATCACTTTGTTGCCCAGGCTAGAGTGAGTGTCATGGCGTCAGTCTTGCTCACAGCAACCTCAAACTCCTGGGCTCAAGCAATCCTTCTGCCTCAGCCTCCTGAGTAGCTGGGACTACAGGCATGCACCACCATGCCCGGCTAATTTTTTCATACTATATTATTAAGTCTTGCCCCCAATTACATTTCTTTCTACTTTATAGAGGAGAACAGGGTCTCGCTCTTGCTCAGGCTGGTTTCCAACTCCTGACCTTGAGAGTAATCCTCTCCACCTCAGCCTCCCACGCGTGCTAGGAATACAGGCGTGAGCCACCATGCCGGCTGCGTAGGGCTGTTTTCAAAAGTCAGACTTTTAACTATTCAGATTAACAGCTTCCAGAAAGCCAAACATCTGCATCACTGATGT